GAACAATTTCAAATTTGGCAGGAGGAAAGAAAGACAACAAAAAAAAAAAAGAGAGTCAACTGCTATAATTTAAATAATAATAATGTCGTTAACACATCAGATAGTGAATTATAACCACCGCTTTAATCAGGATACAACAGTAAAAAGTTATAAGGCAGGCGATCCTGTGAACGTTTCCTATTTCTTTAATTCTTGCAGTTATTCCAAAGTGGAATCGAATACAGTTCTCCTGTGATATATATGATAATTTGGCGTACTAGTAGAAAATACTGCCAGGTCCACCACCTTCCTATCCTACCACTTGGAATGTAATTTATAGAGTTCCTCTCTCGTAAATCGAATAAGTTGTTTGAATATGTAGGCCTGCTTGCTGCCTCGTTTGGTTGTGTATCAGAGGTAACAGGAGGAGCGGTTTGACAGACTGTGATATGTCACGTGATATGCTTACTATTGCTAGAGCCGGCTGGCACAAGATGTCTGTTGACTTGTGTGGCGTACTGCACAAATGTGGCGGGCTGGGGAAGAGATTTCGGTTCCCGCATCCGGCTGGTTCCCAGAGGAGCAAGTGAATTCCAGTAATCCGATTGTCTCATTAGTCAGGGGCTTGTTGCTGTCTGTGCCCTACGCATCACGCTCAACCCGGCTTAAAAACTTGACATTTTGTCACACAATAAAGCGAATTTGGGGAATAAATTGAATTGAAACAGTTTTGTGCTTTTCTAAAAAGAAAGTAGAACCAGCACACAAACTTGTGACGTTGGTTTAAAGAAAAATGTAAATATCTGTATCCTCATGCGGATACATGAGCACAGAATTTCGTATTATCTTGCTCCAAAACATCATATAAGTATGAAAACAATTTTCCATGTCGCCTGATTAAAAGCATATTCGTGTAATTAATGGATCTCTCTCACGTGATTTTTTTGTTTGTATGATAGATGTACACGTTTCAAGATTTTGAAGTTTATAATTCACCTGATGAAGGTTGATTCAGTGACATAATTCTCCAAGTAAATACAAAGTTTATAGTTGTACTACAGTAGAGAACACATTTTAACTTGCTTTCTTTTCTTAAGGCTTAGGAAGTCAATATGCCGCATGTTTTTCCTCCATTTGAGCTTTTAAACCAATTACCAATTTCCACCGAGCAAGCTGTCCCAAACCGCAACTTTGGTAACTTGTATTCCTGAGACTCCCGTTTCAAATCATGACCAGATAACGAATACACTGACTGGGGTTTTATGCAGTGTTCCTAAGTCTCTCTAGGCAAATTCTGCAGTAGTACCTTAAAATGACTCTCGACCTCTTCCTTCCATATCCTTTACAATTCTTTATGCATAATCACCCATTCTTTCGAAGGTATATTTTGAGCTAGACAAAATAACAAACAAACAAACTCTGTGGCCTGTAGTCCGCAAGCGAACTATACCGGCCGAGAGAACGCCACTTTTCGGCGAAGTTAGTGTCTACTTTTGTGGATAGAGGGTGTCACGTGGTCAGCGCAACGGATCCCCATGGCCGTTAATCTCGGTGTTATAGACCGGAACCGCTATTTTTCCATTCAAGTAACTCCTCAATTATCCTCACGAGGCTGAGTGGACCCCGTTCTAGACCCATTACTTCTCAGAAAATCTGATAGGGCCGGGAATCGAACCCGGGAACTCTGGATCTGTAGCCAGGAACTCTGACCACTAGACCACAGAGGCCGTCCTTTTTGAGCTAGACATAGCGTCATTAAATAAACTACAAAATTTAAATAAACTAAATTGACATAATTTTACAAAGCATAATATATATCTCATGCCACTGAAGAATACCTCAACGCCATAATGCTTAATTTCATACGATAAATAATGAACATATGGAAGACACCCTCTAATTTGTGAGGTGGACGCAATATAAGTGATATATTTTGGCATCCAAATGTAATGTACATTACTGGATCTTCATAAAATATGCAATTCTGTTAAGGCAACTGTTAGTATGATATAGAATATGAATATGTAGTCCGCGGGAATATTCATTTACCTTTCGGTCTGAGGATGGTAATACAAACCGTTGGAGGCAGGAATGTGAAAATTGGTATAAAGACTGGTTACAAACATGTCTACAGATTGTACATGAAATACTATCTGTGAGTCAACAACTACAAATGTGGAAGCGCTGGGAATCTTCGAGGATGTATTTAACATAACTGATATAGATAGAATTTTAACTTACGAAACGAGTTATTGAAAAGTGAAATAACTGTGGTATATACGTGCATGGGGAATAGAAGGAAAACATATAGGATATTGGTGGGGAAACCAGAAAGAAAAAGACCACAAAGTGCATAATATTATGTTAGGATCTTACGTAGATAGGATGGGGTGGTATGGACTGGATTTATCTGGCTCAGGATAGGGGTTATTGGAGGGCTCTTGTGAACACGGTAATAAACCTTAGGGTTCCAGAAAATGTTGGAAAATTCTTGAGTAGCTGCGCAGTTTGTCTGTTTCCCAAGAAGGGTTCAGCTCCATGCAGTTAATTAGTTAACAGACCTGTGACATAAGAGGTGTATGCAGTAAGAAAGTAGGCTTTATGCGTCCCGAATGGAAAGTAATGACTCTGAATGGGTTCTTTTCTAATTTGCACCCCCCTGTGTACCCCGTGTACTTGCTTCGCGATCAGATTTTACAGTTCCTTAAGTCTTTCGTCTTCTCAATGGATCATATGTTGAATGGGTGATTGTTTCCTATGTGAAACTTTGTGCTCTTGGTCTGCACAGAAATTTGTGCCAAAACCTGACATGTGGGTCTATATTTCTGGTAATTTGGAGGTGTATATTTGTTGTTGAAGAATATACAGATTTTTCATTGTATTTTTCAAATACACGCCTAAAGAAAAATATTTTAAAATGCATTTGCTTCATTTTAGGACGAATGTATTTCTTTTCGTGTGAACTAAATGTACGTATTATTATTTTTTTTAGAAAATTCCTGTTTCTATTTGAATTTAACGTTATGCAAGGCGTATATTTAAACTTCTTTTACGATGTTATATTTTAGCGTCCTGTTGCACTGATTTATGTCCATGATTTATTCTGACCGTCTTACAGTGCATACATATATTCACCTTACTCTTTTCTCTTGCACTACATGTTTCAGCACAAAAGTGTCATCTTCAGGTGCTTTTCGATNTTTAAATATTAAAAATATTAAAACTGTTCAGGATTTGTCATCCTTATGTCGTATCTCAGTACACGAGTCACACCTATCTTCTTCTATCGGAGTATTCTTCCTACTTTCATGTGTGTATCTGTAACGTGAAATTGTTATTCATTAATACCGCGTTCTTTTACAGTCTTCAGCAGCACCCATCGTGCACAGACTTTGTGAAAACCTAACCTGTCATGCATTATGAGGTAGGCCATGCCGTGTGAACGCGCCTGGTTCCGACAGCAGCCCAAAGAATGTTATGCTGCTGGTTTTCGGGGGCTTGTGAAAGGATGGGACAAGTGCCTCAGTGTACAAGGAGATTGTGTTGAGAAATGAAATCATTTTTAAAACCAGTACTCTTATTTATTTAAGTTCTATATCCATTTGTAACTTACTTATTGACCTACCTACGCAGATGGGAATGTGAGGGTCATATGAAAATGGATCTGTGAGAAGTAAGATGGGAAGATATCTGGTTCACAATAGGGACCAGTAATAGGTTCTTGTAAACGTGATTTGAAATTCCAAGTTCTATTAAAATCGAGGAATTTAATTCAAGTCAAGCGATTATTAGTTGCTCAAGGGATTCTCGACTACGTGAAGTTAGGGGTACAACATTGAACAAGGCAGACCCATGAGGAGAACAATAATTCATTAGATTTGTTGCTGCATCTTTCATCATCAAACTGCAGACTTCCAGTATTAGATGATATTTTGAGGCTAGAAGGCTGAGCTAAAATATTGTTACAGACCCAATAGTGGACGTAGTGAATTCTATTGACTCAACTTACAGTACACGTGACTGATTATAAGCATAAACTTACTGATATGTCTTACACCATACATTACGATTTCTAACTGTAATTTTACTGATAAGTCTACAACGAATTTTACAACTTATAACTGTAAGCTTGATACATTACATTATACGTGAGGAGTTTTAACTATACTGTTCTTAATTTGATTTGTTTCATTTTTGGTCCGTCACACTAACAGTTACAATTATAAAAGACAAGTCCGTCCAGTGTGACTATTTCAGTTTTCTCACTTTATGATTCACTAGCCTTACATGTTTCGATCCGTTTGGATCATCTTCAGAGGCACCGAACACTTTTTAGAAACCACTATCACAACAGCTGTCATATCAATTACACATGTATTGCCAAGTACACAATGTTCCATCTAAAAATGTTAAATATTTCTACAACCAGAAAGACTGCTGTGACTGATAGATGGAACATTGTGTACTTGGCAATACATGTGTAATTGATATGACAACTGCTGTGATAGTGATTTCTAAAAAGTGTTCGGTGCCTCTGAAGATGATCCAAATATATCGAAACATGTAAGGCTAGTGAATCATAAAGTGAGAAAACTGAAATAGTCACACTGGACGGACTTGTCTTTTATAATTGTATACTGTTCTTACTGACACACAAGTACGTGTTGAAATTATAAACTTACTGACACGTCTTTGAGTACATGTAACTTACTGGTATGTCTTACACATTACAAATCGTAACTGTAAATTTGTTCATGTACCATATGCAATTATGCCAAGTCTCTACTCGCCCCAATACTTAGGACCTCACATCACACATTTGAGTACCTACTTCTGTAATCTTATATAACAGAGCAAGTGTCGGACTGGAAGCCTGCAACGTACGTTTTTTCAGTACTTAAGGAAGTCAATCTAAAATTGGCTCCTACAGATCACGCTCGTTCTGTCTGCAGATGTGCCTATAATTACGTAAATATCCTACCTTAAATGACAAACCTAATGGTACATTCGACGAGTCCTACCTGTACGCGCACCTCGGGCAGGTTCACCTTCATGGCGAGTTCCTCTCGACTGTACACATCCGGATAATGCGATTTCTCGAAAGCCCTCTCCAACTCGTGCAGCTGGTACGTTGTGAAGGTGGTACGATTCCGTCGATGTTTCTTCTTACTCGCGTCGCTACTCCCGCTGCCCCCGCCACCCTCACCTGTGGTGGTGGTCATACTGGTAGGTACCCCAGGGCTCGCAGCTTCGTCCTCACTGCAACTCTTGTCGTGATGTTGACACCGTACGTCCTGGAGACCGTCGTTCGAATTGCTGTTCTCACCTGTCAAATGTATACAGCTGTATAATTTCTATGAACTGTGGCGAAAATGCGGGTTAAGTGAAAAGGCAAGCTAGGGAGAATATAATGTGTAGTGATTATTAATAAAAACTATGTGCTCGAATTAAACTCTCGAAAATATTATATACCGACGAATGTATTTTAGGGTCCTGTTGCACTGTATACATTTAACGTCTTTTAGTGCATACAATTTCACTTCTCACTTCACACTACATGTTTCGGCATCATTCTGACATCCTTAGGTGTATCAATCACGCTAAACCATTGCACTGCCTGCCATCAAATATTCATTTATAAAATATCAAATGTGTTTTCGTCGTTGTTGAATAATAAAATGTATATTGTGACATGTTGACCCCTACCTCCCCAGCTGCACGTAGCTGTAACGTAGCGCTCGCGTAATAGGCGAGTAATCACCCCGCATCCTGGTAGCTATGCAATGCGCAACGCGCGGTGATGTCACGAGCGGAGCCGAAGTGAGCCGAGCGGAGCCGACGTCAGCCGAGTCCCCGCGACCTCGAAGCTATGCAAAGCGAATCAACAGCGGTGACGTCACCGAGGGATATCGCGGTTGCTAGGCAGCAGTCAACAACTCCGGACAGCGTGGCTAGCAACACGGCACTAGACGACAATCGTCCGATCAAGGCTACATAAGGAGCAGCGAAGGCTATTCACAGTCAGTCGGTGAGTCCTGGAGATACTCAGAGTGAGTCCTCGAGCTACCTGCGAGTTAGTTCCGCGTTAGCCAGCAACTAGTCAGTTGTATTGTGGCATTTGGAGTGTACTAATTGTGATACTGCAGATAGCAGTAATCGTAAATCTGTAATTTGGGTGATTGTAAGAGCGAATGTGAAATAAAATTCGCTACACCAAATACCTCGTGAAGTTATTTGTCGCGTTATACGCCCGATACGCGACAATATACATATATATATATTCCAATCGTCACTAACCAGTATAATGTAATAACCATGACATGTACTATAATCTATCAATAAAGTAACAGCACACAAATTAGGGAAACACCGGGACTTCTATATTTTCTTGTTTGTCTCACTCCAAGCTAGACGTCAGTATGTGTAAGAAAGATTCTACGAATGGCTGTAACATCAAAGTCTTCTTGGTTTACCTCCGGATTCAAGCAAACTTCTGGATGGTTTCCAATTTCTATGTCGCTACTTCTTTTTTATCGTGCACCGTTCTGGAATTGGTTTATCAACATTAATTCCTCACTCTGCCGAGGAGGACACCAAATTATCCTTTCAAATTTACGCCATTCGCCGCTAATTCATAAAATGAAAATCCCGTGGTTTTGTCTCAAGTAAGTAGTTGAATAAGTCTTCACTTTCTAATGTCCATATCAGAGAGACGAGCCGACGAAGCCTGGGGACACAATTGAAGCTCTCATTTCTGTCCGAAATAAGGTGCCTCTCACTACTCCATGATTTTACCTAATTTTCTACTATTCTCTCCTACCTCTCTCTCTCTTCGCAGTTTATGAATATGTACAAAGTTTTGTAAGCGTGAGATTTACCATTGCAAGTACGCAGTTTCAGGTTACCATAGCAACAAATGGCCTTGTGTTAGAAAGTTTCGTCAACATAAGTTTTGTAGTTGTTCATGAAAGATCTTTCGGTCTTTTGCTTCAGTTATTTTGTCTATTCTGTGAGTATTGGTGTGGATAAGCGAAGTGTAGTATGCTGTTATAAAGGAGACAGTTTGCTATTAATTATTTGTGTTTATAATTCATGGAAACTGACAGTAAACTTCGGCCTTGGCGCATGTAGGACTGGAAAGGAATACGGGAGGAGTCAGTACTTAACAGTACGAAAGTTTTCACGTTTACAGAAAGCGATAATGAGACTTCCAGCTGAATTCTCATTCAACCTTATTTCTACAGTACCTCAAACGTAAAAATGTAACAGGCCATGAAGGCCCACAGGTTTGTGAGACGTCGAGGCTGCCACATTTTCACTAGAAAATCGACTTACAGATGGCGGTAAGTTTGTCAGCCTTACGCGCCGGTTACCCTTTACCCCCAGGAAGTTTCCTGATACTCATTTCTGTTAAGAGACTGAGTCGATCCCACTGTTATAATGCGGCTGGAAGGATTAGGTGAATTGAAAAAATCTACCTCATTGGACCTCGAACTCCCGATCTTCAGGCTTATAATATAGTGCCTCAACCAACTACAATACCACGTGCCCCACCCCAATACTAACATAACATTTAAATATTACTTGAATTCAGCATCGAAATTGTCAAAGAATATGACATGTACTAATAGAGGTAAAGATTGTGTTGGTAAATTAGTTTCTGTAATGTTCACTGAAGGGTGTAAACGCCTTTTTCTTATAATTTATGAGAGCGTATTTCATCACAGTGAATGTGAGCAATGCCCACCTGTTTTCAACAATCTACATATATACATCGTTTATATCAATTTTATAATTACATTACTTCATTATTCACTGAATTCTAAGTTGAGCAGTTAAGCGAATTGTGACAAATCATATTCATTAAAGCAGTAAAGTGCTGGAGGATTTATACCATAAAAATTAATTTTACGCGAGAGATTCAGTGTCGAAAGATAAGCTAAATTTAATGGAATTAAGAGGTGATAAATTAGTTCGTGCTGTGTTTTCACGAAGCGACCATCGGTCAAAACAAGTAGCAGCAATTTGGGGGTTGCGCGGCTCCCAGAATCAGGTGCAGGTGATTAAGTACACCACACGGAAACAAATTTGTCATTGTCCACTTAGAGCATGTATGTGTTATTAAGCAGCTGCCTTGCGTGTGACCGGCCCTGCATCATTAGCTCGACCTCTCTCTGCTGTTGGAATAAGTAAGTAATTTCTGCATGTCTTTTAATTTGTTTCATTAAGCAGTTCGTTCTTGCTTCTTTCTTCAGAAGACAAATCGCGTTTTAACTACTGGCCTCGAGAAAACTGTCGTATTTTACATACAAACCAGCAATCACGGACACACAACACGCAGCCTGCCGTCATAGGCTAGAACGTGAAATGTTTAAATCAATGAAACGCTAGTCATTCCCTTCCTAGTCGATTCAGCGTCAAGTCTTTACTCGCGGTTTAATGTTTTGGGTTCTTTCAGATCGAAGCTGCAAGACTGCGCCTATTACCTTCGCCTGGTCTCTTTCTCTGCCTGCACTTAACAACTCCAGAACAGATGTACGAATTTTCACATCAGTTATTATTCGCGTAAAGAAAGTTGTCCCTGTGCTTAACCAATTAAGCACTACATCATGAAGGCGTATAAGGGAGTGGATGTATATATCCATATTTTCTTGACCTCGGCACTATCTGGAGGTGAGTGATCAGTTTTACGCCCCGGCCGCTTTAGCTTCGGGTAAAAAGCCCCTGGTACCCATTGGTTACGAGGTTGGGTAGTTATCCTAAAATATCTCGGTATATTAAAATTATCGTTAAAACTGGAGAAATAAACAGGATAGTTTCGATGAAATCCTACAAGCTTTTCAATGTGCATTTCTATCATGATTTTAATTTCTGCCTTCAGAATTTTAATATAAAAGGTTGTTGATAAAATGAAACATATATATTTTCTTGAGTCTTACTTTTTTCGAGATCATAAAAAGGTATATTTATGTCCTTCCATTATTATGCTTTCCGAACGTCCGTCTCATCCGTTTTATGCTGCTTACAAGACAGCATCAAGTATTAGTTTTCAGAAATGGAAAATTTGGAGGCAATGACAATTAACGGCCCAAATGGTTACACCATCCATACGTTTTCTAACTAGTGGCTCAATCTGTAGCCATCTGTTCACACTGTTTCCTCCCTCGCCGATTTTCTACTCTGAAGATGGAGAGATATATTCCTCCGAAACGCCGGTTCACAAAAGATCTACACGGTTCCACATCCATGAAGACGGTATTCTTCATACTAACCGCTGTGAAAACCACAAATCATTTTCTAACTTGTTTGGTTTTCCTTAAACTTAGTCCATATGTGATGTGACTCGACAGTCACAGGTTTCAAGAAAAGTTTGTGGCCCAGTGTTTTCCTTCCAGATTCCTGACCTTAACCCTACACTGATATGAAGCACTCATCCCATCAATAAACTTCAATAAGCTGAACATTGACGTAACTACATAATAAATTATTTACGAGTCCTGGGACACGTATTTCGCGGAGCCAAAGAGGAGATAAATAGAACCTGAAAGATCACCGTATTATGGAATGTGACGCAGTGTAATCACAAACCTCAGACAGTAAAAAATCTGATAACCCTGAGAATCGAACCCGGAAACTCGAGATCTGTAGCCAGAAACTCTGATCACTAGACCACAGAGGCGGTCTTGGAAGGCATGACTATCTCATTAATTAATTTCAGAGCAGTTCACGATCTAAATAAAAGCTCCCGCCACGACCTCACGACTTTAAATTTGGACTATCTAATACCCACTTTTAAGTCAAACATCTTTTTTTTAAGTGCATTCCGTAATTCTCTTTACTTCTAAGCTCTAGAGCAAAATGCAGTATATTTGGTTTTAAGCGCATTTTCTTCTCCTATATTGACCATTGCTGTCGTCATGGGAGCGAATCCATGGCTGTCGCTTTCATTAATTTCACGGCAGTTCATTATCTAAATAAATCATGAGCGGGGATAAGGGGACGTGTGCAAGGGATAGTGATGTGCGTTCTGTATCCTCTCCTATCCTAGGTATCTTCGCCTTCTCCTTGTTCATTCTTCTGTCACAAAAAAAGAGGCTTTGACAGTAACACGTCTAGGATATTCCTACTTATTGATTCAAAGAAAATGTAAATAAAATAATCTTCCCGTATGAACACGATACAGAAACTAAATTAACATGGTAAAGACTAAGTGGTCCGTTGTCCAAAACATAAAAATGAGAGTATACAAAACTATAACTTTGCTTGTGGTTCTGTATGGGTGTGAAACTTGGTCTCTGACATTAAGGGAGGAATATAGACTGAGGG